TTCCTCTGTCTCATACATTTTTCAAATACTGAAATTAAAAAAATGTTTAATCAAACGTTTCAGATTTTAACAATCTTAAAAATATCTTTTTTAAAAAATTGATTAATTCAGAATACATTTTGTAATACACGTATATAACAGTTTTCTATTGCGTAATTATATCCATTTGTTTCTAATAGAACGATTCACGCTCCATTGATTGAGTGCACGAATTGGATACGCATTCTGTTAGAATCAGTTATCCAGGTTACGGTTGGGAAACCTCGATGACTTGCGACAGTTACTAAGTCACACTTGTTTAACGGTCAACTGCACCGAAGCCCAAACAATCCGCGTCGATGATTCTTCGGGCGCTGTTTGACTCTCCCTGTGAACGATCGCATCGAGATCCGCGCATCATCCCGCTCGTTATCATCATCTCGTCATCGTTAATTATAGACGCGCGATCAGATCGCGCTCCGCGTAATGATGAGATCGAAAGTTGAATTGAAGTTGAATGACAGTGTTATCCCCGTGAAGTGCGGAAACCGGAAGAATCGTAGTAAGGGCATCGCGATCACCAAGCGCAATCCCCCCTCCTTCTCCCTCGTCCCGCGATTCGATGGAGACGATTCGACTCCTGATAATTGGATTCTATTCCCAGCCAAAAAACCTGGACGATCTGTAGCAGACGACGAATGCAATCCCGTCCGGTTTCCCGGACTCTTGCTCTTTTTTTTTTCGCGTACACGTGTCTCCCGTTCGCTCTCCTCCCGCTTCCCTACCTTGTCGCCCCCTTTCTGTTGGCTCTGTATTATTTCCCTCCCTCTCTGTCGCTCAGTCTCTTTCGCGTTTTTCTGCGTACCCCTTGGTTCTTTTCCCATAGCGCGTCGGGTAGAATTTCCTCGATTCGTCTTATTGTGCGTCGCGACGAAAGAGAGAGATATGTCTGCGGTACGAAGAACAAGGAGGAACAGAGGGTGGAGGGGAAAGTGAAGAAGAAGGAAAACGGGAGAGGAGACGGACGGACAAACGGACGAGTCTCGTCGTAGGAACATAAAACTTAACAAACGATCAATTTTCTGTTCTTTGTTTCTTACCGGGGTGGAACTATACGGCATTTCGCCACACTCTTTTCTCTCCGGTCCACCTCCCCCGTCGCTCGTTGGCCTCCCCCTCCCCCTCCTCCTCCTCCTCTTTATTACTCCCTTCCTCTGCCGCTCCCGCGCGCGCTTCCACCCTCTTTCTTCCCTTCGGTCGGTTCCCTCTTTCTCATTCCCCGTTCCCTCCTCCTGCCGTCTCCTCCTGCTCTGTTTCTCGTTTCCTCGCGTCTCCCTCTTTTTCTCTCAACGGCGGGGTCTGTGCGTCGAAACGAGCCGCGCAGAGGAGAGGCACTCTATCAAAGTAGAGTACGTTCGGCTTGGTTTATTTTTTACTTTGGGAGGGGTCCAAATTGTAAAATCAATACTTCCTCCTAAATTTAGAATGCCGCCGCCGCCGGCAGAACGCGCACGGGCTTTTTCGTTTCTTTTCCCCGCGCCCGCATCGCGGGCGACTCGCTTAACTCGTGTCTCGTCCCCTTTTCCCGGCGCTGGCAAAAGCCGGCCGGCCGGCCGGCTCTTGCCGCGCTTCCGGCGATACCACCGGGTAGGGTCGCGATAAAGGAAGTCGTCGCGACCAAACAAAGCATCGATATTTAGAGCCAGTGATGTGTAATTAGGCGCAGAAGAATTTTTTTTCGCTGGACATTTCTTTGGACATCCTAGTCTATATTTAGATTCTACGCCTTATCCGTATCCGTAGCTAGGTAATGAAAATAAAATATCTTGCACATCTCCGCCTGGAATTGGTGGAAAGAAATAAGGGAAAAAGGAGAGAATGAGAATCGCGCCTTTATACTTCGTACCTTTGAATATGCGAAAACTGCGAAAATATGCAGATTACAACGGAGCTACTTTGAAATTTACAAATTGCATTATTCTCGACATGACGAATGTCTGGGTGAGAAGAGAGAGCATAATACTTTTTCATCTCTCTTTGTAAAATAAAATATATGCGGGGGAAAAAAATACAAATTAACTCGACGTGTTATGAATTACTTGAGATAAGATATATCGACGCTGAAATATCATGTAGACACCTTGCGAGTTACCAGACGACGACACGGCGACGACGGCGAAACGAAAACGAAAGGGATTCGAGGCGACAGAAGTTCAGCGCGTCGAAGGGAAAGGAGAACGGGCGCGAGGGGACGAGCTTTGTGGACAGCTGTTTCCACGTCTAGCACCACCTGCGCTCAGTTTGCCTGCGCGCGCGGGACACATACATACCATGAAGAGAAAGAGATAGCGCGCGCTCGAAGGCAAAGCTCGACCCTCGATGACGCGACTTTTTCGAGGTCTTTGCTCTCTATCTTTCAGTGACGTTATGAACTAGTTGGGCCGATAACCTTGTTTAACTTTCGACAGCGATTACTTCACTCTTTCGAAGTAAACACACTGTTGTTGAAGAAAGAGAATTTTGTCAAAAATAATCTGTGACTTAGAATTCACAGAAACCTATCTATTGATAGCTTCAGTTAACTAATAAGTTCTCTATTTACTATTTTCTAAATAAATCAACTTTGGAAAATATGATCATTTAGGAAAAGAAAACAAAAAAATTCAGCTACAAAATCTCTATACCAGCTGATAATACTATCACTGCTTATTATTAATACCGTTTAATTCTTTCTTTATTAGTTTTATATTTTAAATATTTATGATTTTAAGTTATTGCTAATCTTGTTCA